GACAGGAAGACCAGGAGAAGGTACGAGGTGACCCAAGAAGGGGTGTGAAAAGTGTGGGTAGCACGCCTGTACCGTGTGTGGATCACCTAGTACCTCTTTGTAGTGGAACTTTTTCGTTTTCTGTCCTTGGGGTTGGAGCTGAGTAGGGATCTTCCTCCTTGGAGTGTGTTTGCTTTGACCACCTTAGCAGGACTAAGTGGAATGTGACCAGAAGTGGCTAGGAGCATGTCTAGAGAAGCCCTAAGTATAGAGCTGTAGTGCTTGAGATGAGCTGTGTATAGCCTATCTTTGCTTGAGAGTGTTTGGAGATGCTTTCTTGTACTTTTAGTATGTTTTGGACGACTGTGACCAGTCAGACCTCTTCAGAGAAGAGTGGACGAACAGACATACAGTCAAACCGACTGTTATGTTTGGCTCAAGAGCGGGATTCGGAAAAGGGTCGCACTCGCTTCCGTGTTTTCACAGAAAGCGAATATCACCAACTGTGACCGGAAGACTGATGAGGCTGACCTCTAGATCCTCCTGCAGGCAGATTTCATCAGCAAAAGGCGTAAGGGTGACCCCTTCAGTGCCAACTGTAACAGAGGACCCCGCTTGCCGCTTTACCATGGCGCACTGGCCCCGATGCGGAGCTCAGCACTTGGGTGCGCCGCCCGTGTCACTAGACAATGTCTTGTTAATGCGAGAGACGCTCCCCCGACGCGGGTAACAGCCTTCGACTGTCTAAAACACAGAACACCCAAAGGAAGGAAGCAACCTGTTGCTCATGTGGCCATGGTGAGCCGTGAGAGAAGAGGTGAGACAGGGGCATTGAATTCCGCAAAACTCAGCACTTCTTGTCCCTCAACAAACTGCTCAGTGCTTGCATAATGCACAGGTCGAGACTCCCCTCCACTGGTTCAAGGCAATGACAAGTTGTGTACTTGCAATGCACTTAGGGTGCCGTGTGAGTGCCGACGTGGAGTCCACTCAGGACAGAGGTGCACGCAGGCCGAGTTGACTTGCTTCACTCGATGACCTGGGCTCAAATTTGGCATGTTGCTGGCTGATCTCGATTGGCCACTGAAGAGAATTGTTGTTTTGATGTGCTTGACTGCGGCATCTCTGGAGAAAGTGCTGCACTCCTTCGTGCTTGCTGATAGATCACGGTGCCTATACTGTCCATTTCTGAGGCTGCAGAGCATTGGATATGAATCCCGATGAGGGGTTCGTAGATTTCTTGGCGCAGATTCTCCTGATCCATCGGATGCGATGCTGGCCTGTTGAAAGTGAATCGCTCACAGTTGGGAGTGATTCTCGCGGTACTCCCATTGCCACGCCTTGGAGTTCTTGCAGAATCAACGCTCCCAATGTTGCCTTCTCCCCTCTTGGGAGAATTGGGGACAACTCAGCCTGCACCCACCTTGTCCATCTTGTCACTAGTGGACCCATTGTCAAGTGCATTGCAAGTACACAACTTGGCAGTGCCTCAAACCTCTGCAAAGGAGTCTTGTTTTGCCTCCCGTTACCATCTCCAAAACTCCTGACTGTGCCTTGTGCTAAACAAGTACTGAGCAGTTTGACGAGGGACAAGAAGTACTGAGAGTTTTGCAGAATTCAATGCCCCTGTCTACTCTTCTCTTGCGGCTTAGATGGCCACATGAGTTGCGCAACAGGTTGCTTCCTTCCTTTGGTGGTTTTGTGGTTTGGTTTTGTGTTGCTTTGGTGCTTGGTTTCTGTCTTCACTTTTTTCTCACATTTCAGGCGATATGAGCCAGCTCCGTTCTCTGTTTCCTTTGGGGGGTTGTTTATGTGTGCTTGTTTGTTTTGTTGTTTGGGCCTTGGTGGTTTGGCCTCTTTGGTTCTGGCTCGTATCCTCTCATCCGACTCTTCGAATTCATCTAAGGTGACTTGTGCCTCTCGGCACACATAGCGCCCGTACCCGTGCGAAAAAACTTTGGCGCTTGGTTTCTGGTTCGGTGTTTTTTTTGGCTGTTTGGTGTTGGTTTCTCCTTTTGGATTGCGACCTGTACAGTAACTCCTTCTTAACTCGGCAAAGGTGACTTGTGCAGAACCTGCACACATAGCGCCTCGACTCGTGCAAAAAAAAAATCACACGGTTCCAGAAGGTCTGCGTGCTTTCGAATGTTTCGAATTGTGCCCCGCATGGCGCAGACCTTTGTGGCTGCGTCAGCTCCCCCATCCTGGAGAAAGCAGCAACTTTGGGTGCGAGCTGCAATTCGCTCATAAGGACACCCGCAAGTGTTGGTTGACCCCATTTGGAACACTCTGCGTGACAACTGCTTCGTGATTGTCCGTCAGTGTTTTGTGTTGGACGCGGAACGCCAAGGGCAGCTCAAGGGCGGAGCAAAACAATTCCGGCCTCGAGTCTTTGAAAAATGTACGGCTCTGCGCCACCTCAAACAACGGAGAATGACCCCACCAACCCGAAAAAGATGCTTGCCTGAATGTTGTTTCTTGGAAGCCGGCATCGTCTCGCAGGACTCGATCCAGGCTGATGCCCAGCGATTCGGAACTGTGTCCAGCATAAGTCCATACGCGCCGCTGTGGACAATGCTGACAGTGAAGCAATTCGACTGCCCTCTCCAGCCTCAGTGGATATGAGGTCGGGAATGATTCCAGCCAACATGCCCACCTGTGCACTGCTAGTGAGCGGTCCGGTTGAGAGCCTCAGCTTTTGTCTGGTGTCCGCACGCGACGGTAGGAAGGCAGCTGATTGGCGCCCCTCCACTCGTGCAAAAAAACTCGAAAGGGGGTGGAGCGAGGTGCAGGCTAATGCAGCAGCTGTAAGGTTTTCGTTTGGAGTGCGTAGTTTTGCACTTCGAGTGTTTGAGCAAGCCTTCCGCACCGCAACTTTGAGTTTCGAAGTGTTTTGAGAGCGTTGGAGAGCATAGCTCATGGAGTGTACAAAGTTTGGAAGCTTTGTGAACAGAAGTTTTCGTAGCTTTTGTAGCCTCACAGCTTCTTTTGAACTTTACTTTGGCTCAAGGCCCAGAGTGCGCGTAAAAGGTGTGCGAGTGCTTTCGCGTTGCTTGTGAGTTGTACGTGCTTTTGCTTTAACGACGCTGTAATCTGCTTACTTAAGGTCGTGGGTTTTTTAGGGCTTGGCCCCCTTTCATGATGGAGACTCTACAAAAAATTGCGCAAGCTGACCTGTGCACTTCCTGCATGAATGGCGGCTCGACTCGTGCAAAAAAAATGTGTGCCATGTTTCTCGATCCGCTCACCAGTGGCAGCGCCACACACGCACTTCCCCCAAGGCCGCGCAAATCCCAATGGCACTGCGACATGCTTTGGCCACACGGTCTCCCACACACCAGAAGCAACCATTTCACATGACACCGCCAATGACCCCGCTTGCCAGCCACACGTTTGCGCCAGCATGTCCAATCGCACTGCGCCATTACGAATGCAACTTCGCCACTGGGGTTTGCTTCCAGTGTGTGGTGGATCGAAACGAAATCATGTTCGTGATGTTGCAGTGCCGTGAACGCGGCGTGTTGCTGTCGAGCGAAACACACTGACGGACCTCTTTAGCGTCACACAGATATGGATGCACACACAGACTGACCTGACCGAAACCACGTCCATGTCTTCCGTTTCTAACTGCCGTTTGCTAGATCCCCGACAACCCTCAACACCTTTCATTTGACAGTTTCTGGAAGTGTCGTTTCAGCAACGCGTTTCACTCCCCTAGATGAATCCCAAAAGAATCTGAGATCCATATTCTGACCACTCTTAGGAAATTGATGGGGCATGTTCATTGACCTTTTTAGGACAAAGAAACCTCCAGCTCCGCAAAGGTGGCAACACACCTCGAGAACGACCCCTCACCGGGAAAACCTCGCGCGACAACATCTGAATGTCTCAAACCATTGGTACTTTGGCCAAGTTCCTTGAAAGTGTTGCTTTGCCTCATCAGTGCGCTGGCGACATCCCTGTTGCAAGCTGACTTTCGTGGCAATTCATCCATGCCCAGGTTTTTTCGGTTTCACACTGGTGATAAAATCCCAGCCTGAGCTTCTACGAAATTTGCTGGTCTTTCTTTTAGTGGGTTTCTTGTTTGTTTGGTTCTGGTTGTTTTGTTGGTTTTGTGGTGTTGCTTTGATTCTCAGGAAATCTTAATCTCTACAATAGCTGACTTTCGCATTCTTGCGATAACGGCAGCCCCACGCGTGCAAAAAAAATAATCATTCTGCATGACTTGAAGCCTTGTCGCATCAAGGTGAAAACTGAAAACAAAGCGGCAGTTCATTTGCTACCTTGTGTTTACCAATTTGCATGTTTATGGTGCAACATTGAAAATTTGGAGGAAAGGTTTTGCTCATCCCATTCCCTACAGCCACTATGTCTTGAACACCGTACTCCTCACAGTATCGATATGGCTTGGCCATAATCATTTTCATCGGCCTTGTCATATTGATACATTTAATGGATTTTTTGATATGTTTTTTTGTTATGGACGATTGTCGATCTGGACGCTTTGTTCTCCATCTTACATTTGCAAAACACTTAGCACCTACATCTCCCTTAGTCCAGCTGCACTTGTTGGGCATTTCTAATGTTCGACATACCACTCCATCAAACAACGGCTGTATTACCACACCTTGTTGAATGTCGACTGTCCAACAAAGGACGTGGTAGATGCACATTTTTGTGATTGGGTTTGGCTTATTCAGGCCGGCAATGTAGACAAGGAATGAGACATCACCTCCACTTGATTCACAAACATCCAAGGCAAGAGGCAAACCTTAGCCAAGTTCATGTGGTTCCAATTGATGATGTATCTTCAGTGATCTTGCCAAGACTACGAGGTCTTTTCTTCGGCATGGGTCGTGATGCCGCCCATGCGCATTTTCTATTGGACCTTGCAAAGGCTCGCAAGTGGAACGAGGCTGGCATGCCAATCTGTTGCAACCACCACATGTTTCATTTTTGGTTCCTCCAAATGCTTGATTGGAACAGATAGGAACTGAAGATTTGGAACGAATCCACCGCGCATTCGCTGGCTGAGGTAAAAGACTTCGTGACCAGCAATCCCCAGTTGGTGAATGAACCTTAGCGGCCTTAGTGGTTTTGGCAATTTTTTTGATTTTTCGAAAATCTTGGCATTGCTCCGAAGAGCCCGACGTTTGCTATTTCTACGCTACCACAAACCTTGAAGGTTGCCTCATTTGAACACAGCTTTCTGCTTGGCAAACCACCACACCCCAAAGTCAACTTTTCATTCTAAGTTGGTTCAATAAAGAATTGGTTGTACTTTGATTTCGATGCGCCAAATCTTTCAACTTCAGACAAAATCCTTGTAGTATAGGCCCTGGTATTAGATGCGGACATGTTTGTGCATTGTCCGCAATCTCCCCAGATTACTTTGTCCGGAGCTGGTTCATTCAAGCGTGAACTGTATGTTTAGGCGCAACCGTGTGGACGCTTCTCTGCATCTCGAACGCATTTGAATCAACTGATGAAACAAACAATCTTAGAGCCACCTGCTCCGTTTCGTTAAGGGAGAACTTGTTGCTTTTCACAGACACTGCTCAGACCATAGCCCATGTTGTCGTTTTTGTGTTTGTTTGCAGTGGATCTTTCTTCTGGATTGTCTTTAAAATCTTGAACACAAAAAAACACATATTCTGTTCTCTACTTATTCTTCTTCACTATAACATTGAGTATTGGTGGATGCAAAAGAAAACAACCCGGCTGCGACATAGTAGCCAACACTGCGATTGGTTCTCCCCGCCCACGATCCATCGTGTCCGTCCGGTGACTACCGCTTCTTCCTCGACAGATTTGTTTATTCTTTTGGTGATGAGGTCCTTCACCAGGCTGCGCAAGCTGGGCACCTGAACTCTGTGAGTGGCTAGGCGTATCTCGCTGTTGGTCGTTTGGAGGTTGCACGGTCCGTTCATGGCCTCTTCTGTTGGGGGTGATATTGCAATAGAGCCCTCCAGACACTGAGGTCAGATAATGACCCCCTTTTGTTTGGATTTGTCGAGCCAAGTAGGGCATTTGATCTCCGTCCATCCATGCATCCATCCGTCCGCGTTTGTTCATCCATACATTCATAGCACCAAAGCTTTTTTGCAAAGAACAGGATCCGAAAACGCAGTCTGAGGCTTCCTCCTGGAACAGCGAGCAGACATCAACGCCAAAACCTCCCACGGCCAGTTGCCTTCGGAGCCTTTGGTGATGGCCATGGTGGGCAGATTGGGTGGGCCATATGGGGCACATTGTGTGCCTTGTAAGGCCAGGAGCCCCTAGTAGCGTCCTTGGTCCTATTGGCGATGCCAGGAGCTCCTAGTAGCGATGCCCTTGTTCCTAGTAGCTTCTTGTTCCTAGTATACGGCCAGGAGCCCCTAGTAGCGCCCTTGCGCCTAGTCTTGGTTTGGTGTTGTGGACGCTCCACTCCACGGGTATTCACATCGAAAGTCGGACGAGAACTTGATCAATCTTGACGCGTCTGATGCTCGCGATTTCCCTGCTCAAGAACGACCGGGGAACTGCAGCATGATTTGGTGTGCAAGCACACGCGTCTTTTACTTCTGTTCAATAATCTTCAACCTTGCGCGAACTGCATCAGCAAGATCAGACATCGATATTGTTCTTTTTCTTCTTTCATTTTGTCACGTGAAGGTGGAGTATTTGTGCCATCCTCGGTGCCTTTGCAATGACCCTTTCGGTTCCCCCCCTTCTGGGTCAACCCCTGTCCTTCAACCAGATGAGCGCTTCCTGAGCTGCTTCCTGCCTGAGGATTTGGCCAAAGACCCTGCTGTGCGGGCGTTGCTGCACACTCGTCACGTTGAAGAGGTATCAAGGCATCGCAGCTGAGATTGTTGAAGTTTCCGGGTAGGCAAATCACTTATGGTGCCTATGTCCCAGTATGGCTCTTCATTTATTGGCCACACTTGACAAGCAGTTGTCCACGCCAGCTGCTTGCCCTGCTCGAGTGCAAATTGGGGAACCCATGTAATCCTCAAAATACACGGAACATCACGGAACATAGAAATGAGCCCATTAGTTTTGGATTTGGATTGCCCGAATGACTTGCTCACACATAGCCAGTGAGCAATAGCCTTGCTGAAGCACAGTTGTTGAACAGTGTACTTGACGAGAAGTTGAGTTACTACCTTTCAACAATAGGGAACACTTCAGAAAGAATCTATCTACTTTCCTAGCCAGCTTTAGACCTCCATGTTCGCTGCTGGCATAGCGTCCTTGGTGGGTGCGGCAGCGTACGCCTACAGCTACAACCTGGGACGCTTCAGATTCAACTCACTGCAGCGGCAAGAATGTTTGCATCACTTTCAGGACTCGAAATTGAAGCGGTTTCTGAAAGAAGACCAACGTGTGTCCTATTTCTGCTCATGTGATGTGGTTTTAGGCTTTCTAAACACCTGAAATAAGGGACCCGCATACCACCGCCTGAGTGGGAAAGAGTGAACAGTTACATTTTGTTTGGTGATCCTTAGTGGTCTGTGAGTCTATGCAAAAGGGCCACTGGAATGGCAGGCATGATGTGGCCGTGGTATGTAGAGCTCAATTCATGGCATGGCTATTCTTTTTCGTTTTCAACAGTCCGAAAGGTCCACTTTTGTCACTGACAAAGAGCTTTGGCCCAACTCCCTGCCAGAGGTTTAGCTGCGTCCGCCGAACGGTTGGGGTGGGTTCTCCCGCCATGGAATCAATTTTCCCTCCTTTGATGGTTGGGAGTCGTTTCTCAGGGCTGGTTCGTGCTGTGGAGTGCAATGCTCACACGCGTGTCAAGGTGGTGGCATATGATTCTGAGGCTATTTTCATGGGTGATTTGGAGTTGGGTATGCTCCACACGCTGTACTTTGTCGAAGTTGTTGCCACCGATCCTTGGGTGTTCCAACCATGCTCTGAGACTCAAGTAATTCCTATCCCTTTGTGGAAGGGGCCTCCACAGTTTCAAGTGAAAGAGCTCTGTGCAGGCATGGGTGGCATGGGACTCATCTGTAAGCACCCGGGGGGATCAGTAGTTGCTGCATGTGATCACCCACAATTGGCTTGCTCCTTTTTGCGCCGGAACTTTGATCATCCGATCATTGAAGGTTCGCTCACTTCTGACCGTGTCATTTGTGACCTGCAGCATGCTGGTTCGGCCTCTCAGTGCATTTACACACTGGGCTTTCCTTGTCAACCGTTTAGTGCCCAGGGAGACTTGCGTGGTCTTGAGGATTCCAGATGTCAGGCCTTGTGGGGTTCATTACGGTGTCTCTATCTCCATGCTGCTTTGGGGGTTGTCCTGGAGTGTGTGCCTGCAGTTCGTGATCACTTTGGACTTTAGCAGATCTTCGCTGTCTTTGCTTCAAAGCTTTCTTGGAGTCTGTCCTCCACTCTTTTGGACTTGACACTGCAATGGCCTTGTCGTCGCTTGAGATGGTGGGGTATTATGTGTGAAGCCTCACTCCATCCCTCCTTGACAAGTTGGCCCTGCGATGATCGTCATACCACCGTTGGTCACGTGATTCCGGAATGGCCTGTCTGGCCTCAGGTGGAAGAAGAAGCCTTGAGATTCTCCCCAGAGGAGACTGCCAAGTTTGATGATCCTGACTTCGGTCGAGACTTGCGCCGACTTCAGTTGACTTCAGTGGCACCTACTCTGTTGCACAGCTATGCGCACACTTGCTCACCCTGCCCTTGTGGCTGTCGTGGCCCCTTCTCTGATTCCAGGCTACGCAATGGGGGCATGCGTGGATTTGGGATTCGCTCTGCAGCTTTTCCTTATGATCGGTTTCTGCACTGCCAAGAGGCTGCGTTTCTGCTCACCATTCCTGCTACCTGTGTGTTTCAGGAAGGCCGCTCCGATCTTGTGCTGCTTGGTCAGGTTGCTGCTCCGTTGCAGTCGCTCTGGGCATTCCATGCCTTGCTCACTGCGCTTTTTGCTCCTTTCGATGTGCAACCTTTTCGCTCCGCAGTTAACTGCCTTGAAGCATATAAGTCTGAGCTCTTCGATTTGCGACATGATCGATGGACTTGGTCTGACTCAGTTGGGGTGCGCCATGTTGCTATGTTTGATGTGGACTCCCAATCTGACTACTCCTTTGTCCGCGCTGGCCGTGTGACGGTTGAGCGTTTTTTGGCAGCAGAAACCTTCCGCCAGGAATGGGCACGCACTATGCAAGTCATGGATGGATTTCGCATTCTTCCACATGATGCCATTTTGCAAACTAGAGGTCGCTATGGTCCTTACACTCTGTCTCAACGTTCCAAACATAGGCCCGCGACATTGGGTTGGGGATGTGTGGTGATTCTGATTGAGGTTGATCAGGTGGTTCACTACGCCTACCTTGTTGCAGGTGCTTTTGTCTTTGAGGCGGTTCTTCAGTGTGGACTTTCTTTGGACTTGCGTTTGTGCGACTGCTCACAACATCCGGTCTCCCTGACTGCTCGTCTTTGGGCTGACTGCCGTTTGGGGGTGCTTGGCACTGCACCTCCTACTCCCTGTGTTGGATTTGGCGTGACTCATTCTGGTCAGGGCAGTTTCTACGGTGGACTTTCTCGTTCCCTGCTTCACCGTGCTGCGCTCTTCTTGCTGCGTGAACATTGCTCACGAGGTTCGGTGCCTCAGGCGTACTTGTATGGTGTTGGTGAGGGCACTGGCGACTTCACAGCATTGTTTGGTCCACCTCGTGAATCATGGTGCCTCTTGCCAGGTCGCCATTTCTTTTTCGTGCTTTCCTCTGGCCATTGGACTTTGTTGGAATTGACTGATGATTATGGTTATCCACGTGCCCTCCTCTATGATGGATTTCCCCGACATTCGTTGCCTCTTGCTGCCGCGTTTTTGGTGGATTTCTTTGAGAGCAAGTTTGGACTTACTTTCACTGTGGAATTTCGTGAATTTCTTGCTCAAAGCTGCCGTGATTCATGTGGCACCATCGCTTTGGGGCACTTGGCGCTCTGTCTTCGACTGCTCCCTTGGGCTGACAGCAAGTTGGTCGAAAGTATTCACCCGGCTCTTGCCATTTTGTCTGCATTGGACTCTGCTACTGAGGACATTGGATTTGGTCCCGCCAACACTGAGGATCCGGTTCATGAGCTTGCTGTGATTCTTAAGCAACATGGTGTGCCTGATGCTCTCGCCCTTGACCGTGCCACTCAGGGGGTTCGTAAACTAGGCAACTCTGCCATTTCCATTGCACTCAAATCCAATAAACCTTGGCCAGCCTTGAAGGAGCTTGGCTCACGTCCAGGACACACTTTTCAATGGGTGCTTGCTGATGAACTTCAAGCCCAAATTCGTGCTCGAGCTGAATCGAAGTTCAAGGTCCAGCCATCGCAAAAGCGACACTTGGCTCCGCGTCAGCAATTGCAGCTCCTACCGGATACCTTTGCAGTTGGATCGGTCGCTGTCGCACAGATTCCGTTCGCAGCAGTCAAGAAGGGAGCCGCTGGCTTAGCTTTCGCATCGTTGAGTGACATAGCCCCGTTTTTGAAACAGGATGAGACTATCAGTGACGCAGCTTTGGCCATCCTTACTACTAAGCCCATTCCGAAAGTTGCCCGTATTGCTGGCAAGTCTTGCTTTGTTGAAGCAGTCCCCACGCAGACTCTTCGCATTTGCCTTTTTCGGGATTCTTGGCCTCTGGATTGGAGTGAGTTCATGCGGCAGCCATTTCGAGCCATTTTGCAGCAGGTGCCAGGCCTGCAACTCTGTCGCTCATCTGGTTGTGGGGATGGGTGCATCCGCTACCATGCCCCGGTTGATGAGCCTATTGAGAACCTAGACTAGGTTGCGCGTGGCAGCGGGCATTCCCGAGACTCACTTACTATTTTGTGTAATTTACCCAACTAGTCTAGTGTTAATATTTGTTAATATTTGTTTAAACTAATGTATAATAACCGTACCCGACATAAACCTAACAGCCGATCCGATACTCAACGGTTAACGGTTGCTGAACCTGCTGCAGCAACGGTTGTTGAATCTGAATCTGCTGCCCAGTGAGTGAAGGAATACAAGGACCATAGTAGGCAGATTTGTCAACACCCGATTCATTTCCAACCACCGATTCAAACGAAAAAGCTTTTAGTGCTGGATCTTTGGGCCAGGGCCTGGCATGCACTGGATGGGCGCTTTGCGACAGCCGAACAGGCGGACTTTTGGTCAGCTTTGATGCGAGTTCCGGCTTCTGCCAGCTTAGCACTGCAACAGGTGTCTGGTCAGCATGGAGTCTACCTTGAGCCCCGCTCTTCCAATGGGCGAGAAACGGATGGGCGGTATCAGGTTGTGTGGTTGGCAGAGAGTTTTTCTGATGCCATGTGCAAGGTTCGGAGTACTCCTCATGCTCTTGCGCTTGTTCGGTTACAGAAGAAGTTTGGGATTCGGTTCCTTAAAGAGCACGCAGAGGATGCCTTTTCTGCACTGCGCCCCGGTGAGGTCTACACTGCCATTTCTGTCAGCAAGCTCTGGCGCCTTATGCCATTGCCTTTCGGTACACGACGTGTTGGACTTCAAAAATGCCTTTCCGATCTTAACTGGCCTGCAAAGGTATTACAACAGGTTGGCAGTACGGAAGCAGGATTCATCTGGGAAGTCGGTGCCGAAACTGACCCGCCCGCTCGTTTGCTACGTATTTCGGATCGGGACATAGTGGTTACTTTTGCTCGAGATGCATCGAAAGCTTCTGGGCCATCCAGTGTCATTGCTTCCGCTGGTACCAAGTCTCATTTGCGTGGCCAGCCGTCTCGTACTTCTCCAGTTTTGGATCCTTGGTTGGCCACAGATCCTTGGAAGGCTTCGTTGACCGCCGTGTTTTCTGGGGGCGCGGATAAGTTGCCACCGCTGACAAATTGCGTGCTGAGATGGCTCCGTCCTCTTCGGCTCCTATGTCTGTTGATTCCAATGCGCAGGCGAACACTGATGCCCGTTTGACTCAACTCGAATCCTCCATTGGTGAGAACCAGGGACAGAAACTGGAAGCATGGGTAGCTCAGGTTGCCACTTCGCACCAGCAATTCGGTACTCAAATGCAACAGGTCCACCAGAGCCTTGCTTCGCAACATGATGCAGTGGAGTCTCTTAAGTCTGACTTGGGCAAACACGTCACTGCTACTGGTTTGAAGATGGATGAGGTCAGCAATGAAATGAAGGGAGAGTTCCAGAAAGCTATGTCACATCTGACTGCCCTCTTGAAGAAGAAACAGAAAACAGACCATCATAGTTGACTAGGTCATCCGGGACCGGCACCATTTGTTGCGCCGGTGCCCAGCTTGTTGCTTGACTGGCTTCGCAGTGTCTTAGCCTTCCTCGGGGTCATTCTTCGCAGTGTCATGCTGATATGTGG